GATATTCTCGAAAAGATCGTAACTTGAGATAAATCAAAAGTTACTCGAAAAGCTTCGTTCTACTTCGTCTTCTCTTACAATAAGCATTTTCTGTAGTTTCCACTCGATCTTTACGCTTTATGATCAATTCCACTCACCACCCATTAATAGCCCTAGGCACGAAGTATCTCCAGTCGTGACGTAACCGGACGGGTCAAGAAAGGGTCATCAACACGTAACAATGCTCCAGTTCACTTTTCCGAACGTTATAGTTAACCTATTGACATCGGAAATTGGTTAGTTATCGATACTAAACCGTAAAATATCCTCACTTTTTTCTATTCGTTACGCGATATTATACACGTTAACTGTTATTAAATCAAAATTTAACATTTCCTGTAGCCTTCGGGAGTGAATACACGGCCAAGAAAAAAGCGTTACAGCACTTTTCCTTTCGGTAGAAGCGAAAAGAAACAAAAAAAATGTAATAATTTCTCTTATACCTTTAATATAATTATTATCTATAATATATAGTTTAGATATTCGAAAAACAATTAATTTAAATTTGGGGCTACCTTGAACACGAGCCTATTTTTATCGTTATGTAGCAGGTGTTCAACTTTTACCTTCAGCAGGTGCTTCCTATCGGTTTAGAATTTTGATTAAGGCCCATATTATGCCGTTACACTCGCATTTTAATAGTTAAAAACATTTTTAAACGCTTAAATAATTCAAATAAAATGATTATAAACGAAGAAAAGCGTGTAATTGGTTTAAATTAACAAATTTCCAGCAACGATTTTTGGTATTAATTAAACTACATCAAAAGAGGTATATATATATAGGGACTAATACTCAGAAGCGTATTTTAGTTTCCAAAAAGTCTTGAGGATAAACATACGAACGAACCGATTACAAAATCTATTTATAAAACTCACAACTTGTCTCTATTAACAATTAATTACTACAATAAACTATAGGCGTAACGCTAATGAATCGGATCGATCATTGATCAGTGTTTGAGGATTTTTGCGTCTTTCGATCATCGTTTTAGAAAATAATTATAATAATAAAAAAAAGGAGTAGAAGAAGAAAGAAAATAGAAAAGGGGAGACAAGTCGTCTCGTGCTTTTTATCAGTCCATACCTTTCTTAAGAAAAGTTCAAGGTCAAAGTTGACAATAGAACCTTTAGGTTACGGTCTAAATATAGTAAGTAACAAGCAGCAGTAACACGAGAGATTATTTTTGAAATTTCTAGAACGAAATGCAAAATATCCGTTATGAAAAATTATAAATAACTTTTAAGATTTTACACACCTCTTCCTTTTCAAATTCGTTTCCTTTTAATTGTATCTAGGGCTTTAATATTGAAAAAATATTAAAAATTTTCTTTATTATTATTATTTTTTATTTTTTTTTATATTTTAAAATTTTAATTCTACATTACCCAATTTTGATTTATATATTTTATGGAAATTCTGGTAAAATTTTCTCTTGGATTAAGCAGGAAAATTTTAAGGATTAAAAAACAAAGAATTTTATTTATATATTTAAATTTAAAATACTTAAAATTTATTCATAATCTCTCCTTAAGTAAAAAGGGTCTTTATACAATTAACTTTTATTACCCTATTCCAGTGGCGCATTATCCTACGGGCAAAAAAGGGCGATAGCCCGGGGCCCCAACCAACAGGGTGTCCCTAACCGATCTTTTAAAAGAAAATACTTTTTCGAAGAAAAAAGTCTGAAATCGACAATATAAATAGGGGTCCCTAATTACCTGAGCCCTATGACTATAAATCTATAACGCACCATTGACCTATTTAAACCCTTTAGTCCACCAGAAACTGTTAAAAGGGTAGGATGATTAAGGAGATTAAGAAACTATTTTAAAGTACGAAAAGAATGATTGTCATTTTTCCTAATGCTACAATTTTCCTTTTATTCCTAAAGTGGTTCATGATGAGTTGGAATTTGCAAAATAGTTAAGCAAAAGAAGGCGCCGGAGAGCCTAAAACATATTAAGTTTTCATTACTTGCATATTGTAGGCCTATATATTCAGTTATGCGGCTCACTTATGAATACAAAGTAATTTATTTTTTATTTATTAAATTTATTAATATAAATATACAAATTAATTTGCCATTTATTTATTTACATTTTAACATCTTTTACCTGTAAATTTGATATTAATTAATAATATTATTATGTAAAAAGTAAACGTAGGTTAATTACAGTTTAATTGAAAAGAAATTCAATTTTAGAAAAGAATTTCTATGCTAATATGCTATTTAAAATGTAGAAAAGTGGGAATATCAATAAATAAAATTAAGACACATCAAAAATTACAAATTAAATTAATTTTTCTTAAATTAATTTCAATTTATTGCTCTGTATACATTATAAATTTATATTATTAATAACATTTGCTATTTTTAAAAGACAGATTTTTGCGTTTAGAATCTGAAAATCATTATATATAGGTCTATATATAAAGAGTTAATTTAACAATTAATCCTATAAAACCTTAAGGAAGAAGCCTTCAAACTTACTCAATATATGGCATTCTAATTGAGGTTTAATCTTAGTATCTATGGTTAGATACGCATCATATGACTGGAAGCTCAGTAATTACGATCATTCGATATAAAATACACAATTCTTTATGAATATAATTATTATACATTTAGTAAAAATTAGATAAGGCACCACGTTCTTGTTAAGATTAGATATGCTTATTAGTTTACTCACTAACGATAGGAGAAGAGCACGTCTAGATTGACCTTTACACAGCCGTAAACGTTACTAAACTTTTATATAAAGAGAATAAGATCGTCGTAAGAAGTAGTTTTCACACATACAAGCTCTTAACTGTAGCAGAAATTTATATAAATGCAACTATTTAGTCACCCTCCTACACATTTTTCATACAAAGGAGCGCATTTTGCACCTTTAAAGTTTTAATATATTAAATAAGAGGGGTGCAGTAGGTCAGTAAACGCAATTTATTTTGATAGATTACACAAAAAGTGATTATCGGTTGTATTGTGAACTTTATTTACCAAGTTAGTCGACCTCTCGATACCGATATCTTAACTATCTCAGTCTTTATAAAGGAGCTTGATAACCGTAGATAACGCGCATGTTTCGGATATTTACACAGTGGGGAGTTGTTTAGGATACAGTTTTTTACTTTTATAATTGTTTAGTTTACCTTATCTGATAAGAGACGATGTAGTTTTCAATTCACGAATATATATATATTTATTTACCAGGTATATATCACGTGGAAGTGACTAAGAAATAACCTTTCATCTTATACGCGTTGAGAACGAGCGACCTTACTATTTATCAAAAAATTCATTAGGTTAAAAGGTAAAAAAAAAATATATTATTTAAAAATCTCATTTATTTTTATAAAATTATTTTATGCTTATTTTAACTTGGCCACGTCTAAATATCGATCCTTAAAAATATTTCCCTATTTTATAGAATCGAAGGGTAGAAACGAAGAAGTTTCAAATATTCAATGTATAGAGCGGCAATTAAACTTTGACTTAATCTGTGGAATTCGAGTTAGCCTCATTTAGGGGATTTGAGTAATAAAATTGGGGGTTTTGGGGTATTTTCTTGACTCTTATTTTCTTATCACCAGAGGTCGCCACCGGCCAATGTGACGTATCAACCTGTCAGCTTATAGATTCCGAGCTAAGGCGACATAGTATGACTGTACAGTGAGTTGCAGAGGAGAGTAGTAAGCAGTGCTAAGGTCGTCTANAGAATCTAAAAATCATTATATATAGGTCTATATATAAAGAGTTAATTTAACAATTAATCCTATAAAACCTTAAGGAAGAAGCCTTCAAACTTACTCAATATATGGCATTCTAATTGAGGTTTAATCTTAGTATCTATGGTTAGATACGCATCATATGACTGGAAGCTCAGTAATTACGATCATTCGATATAAAATACACAATTCTTTATGAATATAATTATTATACATTTAGTAAAAATTAGATAAGGCACCACGTTCTTGTTAAGATTAGATATGCTTATTAGTTTACTCACTAACGATAGGAGAAGAGCACGTCTAGATTGACCTTTACACAGCCGTAAACGTTACTAAACTTTTATATAAAGAGAATAAGATCGTCGTAAGAAGTAGTTTTCACACATACAAGCTCTTAACTGTAGCAGAAATTTATATAAATGCAACTATTTAGTCACCCTCCTACACATTTTTCATACAAAGGAGCGCATTTTGCACCTTTAAAGTTTTAATATATTAAATAAGAGGGGTGCAGTAGGTCAGTAAACGCAATTTATTTTGATAGATTACACAAAAAGTGATTATCGGTTGTATTGTGAACTTTATTTACCAAGTTAGTCGACCTCTCGATACCGATATCTTAACTATCTCAGTCTTTATAAAGGAGCTTGATAACCGTAGATAACGCGCATGTTTCGGATATTTACACAGTGGGGAGTTGTTTAGGATACAGTTTTTTACTTTTATAATTGTTTAGTTTACCTTATCTGATAAGAGACGATGTAGTTTTCAATTCACGAATATATATATATTTATTTACCAGGTATATATCACGTGGAAGTGACTAAGAAATAACCTTTCATCTTATACGCGTTGAGAACGAGCGACCTTACTATTTATCAAAAAATTCATTAGGTTAAAAGGTAAAAAAAAAATATATTATTTAAAAATCTCATTTATTTTTATAAAATTATTTTATGCTTATTTTAACTTGGCCACGTCTAAATATCGATCCTTAAAAATATTTCCCTATTTTATAGAATCGAAGGGTAGAAACGGAGAAGTTTCAAATATTCAATGTATAGAGCGGCAATTAAACTTTGACTTAATCTGTGGAATTCGAGTTAGCCTCATTTAGGGGATTTGAGTAATAAAATTGGGGGTTTTGGGGTATTTTCTTGACTCTTATTTTCTTATCACCAGAGGTCGCCACCGGCCAATGTGACGTATCAACCTGTCAGCTTATAGATTCCGAGCTAAGGCGACATAGTATGATTGTACAGTGAGTTGCAGAGGAGAGTAGTAAGCAGTGCTAAGGTCGTCTACCAAACACTCCAATGGGTTGTGAATGAGAAAGATGCCAGTAGATACCCCGTCTACCTCAAAGCCACCACGCGTATAGGAAAAGAAAGAAAATTAAGTGTACAGGAGTGCTTATAGTGTTTGTGCATGAATGAAATGGAAGGTTTCGAAGGATCACACGATACGCATACTAGGCCGAGCACGTGGCCTTCACCGGGGTCGGAGAACAGTCCGTCAGATAGGGACAGTGTCCTCAAAGGCCAAACACCTTACGCCAAGAAGACCAACTCCAGAAGAAACGCGTGGGGTAACATGTCTTACGCCGATCTCATCACAGAAGCTATACACGGCTCTGCCGAAAAACGTTTGACCCTATCGCAAATATACGACTGGATGGTCAAAAATGTGCCCTACTTCAAAGATAAAGGAGATAATAATAGTTCTGCCGGATGGAAGGTAAATATGCCACTTTAATTAATGCCTTATTCTTCGCTATCATCCGTTACGCTCTTCCCTATTCTCTATAACATATATTTACTCGTCTATATAAATATATATTTTCTTCTTTACCGTTTCGCTGCGGTTTATGGAGTCATACTAGAAATTGAAAAATGGCAGAAGGGTCCATATTAGCGTTATTCTTTAAGGCGTGGTCATTACTAACTAACTACACCACATTAATTATTTAAAACGGCATAATTACGTAATTATTTAAATTAAAACTATTATAACAATTAAATTTCTTAATTCTTTTATATATATATATATGTTATATATATACTCCTTCCTTTCTATGGTAATTATATTTGTATACATTTCCTACATTTCGGTAGAAAAAATTATCATTTCCCTATAATTAAATAAGGTTATCTCGTTTAAAAATATGTCAGAATGCCGTAAATTAATTCGAGAGAATAAAAAAAAAAGGTTCGGGGTTTAGGGGATTTCCTACTAGATGGGTCAAATTAATAGGAGGAATGTGTTTAATTACCGCATTTTTTTTTAATATTGTGAGTTGAAAATGTAACCGGTATTGATTTCAAAATCATGACAGTCTTCTATTCTCGTCGAGAGGTTTCTCGACAGCATTCAGGTATCCTACCTCACAAGATATCGATTCGCCTGTTGGTACAAGTGCTACAGGTGGGTGTGGAAATTTTACTCACGGAAAATATGGATCGTTTCGACAACTCCCCAACTAACAAGACGTGAAAGCTTACATCAAACAAGATATATATGTATATATTAAATTTGAATGGAATCTTTTTAAAAATAATTAAGAAACTATAAGGAAATTCGTTTTCTTGTTGGTTAGGAAATTGGTTTCCGTTCTATGTGAGGTGCAGCTATTAATTCCCCTTCCTATATCGCTTCCATATACACCCTCCTCTTCTAGGAATTAACGTTGTTAAGAGATGTAAGGGTTTATATATATATATATATACACACGTATAGAATATGTATATACGTGTGTAGGAGTAATCATTTGGTTAGATAATGTAGATTTTTCTCCGACGGTTTTAATCGATTTCTATATGGAAAATTTGCAATTTTTGATGCGTTTTAAGCAGAGACGACCCAATTTCCGACACCGCATGTTCGACCCCGATTTGTCTGCTTCGATATTCATTTCCTTTAGCAAGCGAATGTTACAGGCTCGAAATGAACCAAGTCGATGAAGGTTAAGCAATAGGCTAGACGAAGTAGGTCATGGAAGAATCGAGCATCATCTATCCTTCCATCATCCTAATGACTACTTATAACTGCTTCTCCCCCTCTTTTTTCTTTTGCCAATAGACTAGTCCGGTCGGTTGCCTTGGTGATATCAACCCGTTCTGGCGGGAACTGGTCACATTTACCGAACCCCACGTGCGTTTTCCCGTTATTTTTACCTCGTTTTGATTTTCTTTTCCAGAAAAATATTCATTTCCCAAATGGTCAAAATTTATACAAAACTTTAAGATTTTTCATCTTCTTCTATCGTCTCGGGTACTGTTAAAACCTGAGTGAGGGGTGGAAAACCGGATTATCCCATCGGTTCTATAAGCGTAAACATACGTTAAGGTATAGAAAAATTAATTTAAAATAATAATAATAATAAAAAAACAGAGAAAGTAGCGTGTTCCTTAAAGAAAAATCATCAATTAAGCTGAGGAAAAACTGAAAAAAATAGCAAAAATACGCACCAAACTTCTCGCATTTTAATTTATAAAATTGCAAAAAATAAAAAAAATACAAATGCAATATATATATATATATATATATTACGTATTTTGCATTTTTTAATCCAATTTTTGAATTCGAAATCAATATTTACTTGATATCTAAAAAATTACCGTTTCTTGCTTTAGATATTTGCGATAAAATCTTATAAAATCCGATTATCCAGACTCAGATTTTTTTTTCTATTCCTTCCTTTGAAAAATAAATAAATATAGCCTATATATATATAAATTTATATAAAATATTACAAAATTTAACTAATTTCCAATTTATAAAGTCTCTTTTATAATAAAATATATTGGATATTATATATTTAAATCAATAAATAACAAAAGGCATTAAAAAAAAACCAACTTCGACAGCGTCCTTATAAATATCTAAATTTTTAATGAAATTTAATATAAAGATTTATCAATAAAATTATTTAA